TGTAAATTTGGATTGTATTACATCTTTATGTGTGTGTATATATATATATACATATGGCATGAAAATAAATCCATGAAGATCATATCAGATAGAGAGCGCATCCATAGATACAAAGGTTATAAAGCAACTAGTTCGCATGTTTCATGAAATACAACATACATGCAGTGTGTATATAGATACGTATCTCTGTGTGTGTATGTTCGTATGCACTATCGAAAATAATGAATAAGATACTATACTTCCAAAGTTGCACAATAATCGAACGTAGTATATGTATATGTATATGTATATGTGTATGTGTATGTGTATGTGTATGTATGTGTATAGTGCATTCCTTCCGTCCTTCCTTCCTCCCTCCATTCCTTCCTTCCTTCTTCCTTCCTTCTTTCCTTCCTTCATTCCCCCCTCCCGACAAAAGAAACAGGGGGCCCTCCAAAACAGGTTCACAGTAAAAGACTTGTAGATGGTGGGTTTTTGGTATTGCAAACCGCATGACCGAGGCTCATTTCTTTCACTCCTCTGATCTACTCGGCGGGGCTAGTGCACGTGTAACGGAGCGGACACAATGATTAGAATGTGGTTCTGGGTTGCATTATCGTAATATGATTTACTTTGCTTGACGCACTCTCGAACGGTGTAGAGGACGGATCTGAAGCACGCAAGCTGTCCGGAACAAGCACTGGAGACCCGGACCCTGTCCCCCAACACTCCACTCAAACAATTAAGGCCTCCTAAGCCCTCAACTCTACAACTTCTTGTGATTGAGCCATTACAGGCTGCTTGAAGGAATTCTTTCAAAGGCCCTTATAAGCCACAAACCCGAAACCGCCGCACAACTCCGCAGCTCTCACTCGAAGACCTTCGGCTGCGAGTCGATGTCCTCGGCTGGAGGTGATCAACTTCGTTCGGGATCGGAATAGTAGGGCTTAATTCGAGTTTAGGGTTTATGACAACTCGTAATTATGATGAGTTGATTTCAGGTTCAGGGTATTTGTGTTGGGCCCTGGTGTGGAGGGTGGAAAGGTTCTCATGATTCGACCTTGCGGCCACTAGGGCCGCTAAGTGCAACCCTACTATCTGCCGTGAAACTCGCTGCCGCTAAGGTTGCACAATCTGGCGGTGCTGACTTCATAGGGACCCTGATGCCTTATTACGGGTATAAAGGCCCCCGACCCGACCCCCTTCCCTCCTAAGGTTCTAAGTGTCCTTAGGCTGATTCTTGGGCACGATTGCGAACCCTGTTCACGGGAATGTCGACATGCTTATCACCTGAGCTTATTTTGTTCTTGTTTTTAGTGTAGACATGTTCGGTTTTGGCAACTGTCGCGTTGAATCCAACACTCCTCACGTGCTCGAGGCTACAAGGTCCCAACAGAAGACGGCCAGCAATGCTGGCAAATGCAGCACCACAACAAAACCACAACAAAAAACAATCTACGTGCCACTTGCACTACTGTGGCTGCAGCGGCTGCGGCTATTCAAGAACCTACTACCGCTATGGGTGCTGCCGCTGCTGCTGCTGCTGCAGCGGCCGAGATGATCGCTCTGATCGAGACGCTCGTAACACTGACCTGTTACAGTGTTGTCAACCCTGTAGCCGTTTCCGGACTGTTGTCATTTGTGTGCTCAATAGCAGCAATAAGGATCATCGTCATTTTGGTGACAGCGGAAAAAAGGCTGTGCGCTGCACTTGCTGCTGTCGTCGTTCATGTTGCGGCTGGGCTCAACCTTGTAACACACCGCCCAAACCGATTAATCCCTACCCCCTAATATCAAACGAGGGGGGGCCCCCAATAATTAGATGCTCGGAAAGTGTTTCACTAAAAAGGGAGTAGTTTTATCTCTACTGTCAGATTTGGGTACAATTACGGCCGCTCCGCACAGGCATGCTCAGCGAAGGCCTGTGAAACCTGACTTAGTCCTTTCAGACAGACAGGCAGATTTAGGAAAGTATGAGGCAGGCTTCGGACAGCCGCGCTCACAGACCGAGCTGCAGACAGGCC